CCAATTATACAGGGTATAACAGAGCTCGTAGTTACGGTTGATACATCGCTATCTTGATTGAAAAAGGAGTCGAAAAGTCCTGTACTACTTTTTTCTATCAGTGCATAAATTTCCTGTAATAACTACCAAGGAACCCGAGGTGTATCTCGTCGATTTTCTTCATTCTGTGATATGTTACAGTATATGAAAGAACATTAGGGACGTATTTTTTTATACGTGCTAACTCGGCGATTTAAGGGGTGAAACGGACCTTTAAAGTTCACCCCCGAAAAACGTTATTTTTTTTTTAATATGTTTCCGCGGTCGACATCCAAGAGAGAAAATCGTTCTTTATCGTACCACGATCGATATCGCAGAGAGCGCTCTCGCGACGCTCCGCGCTCGCGAGCCGCGCTTCCCTCTCTCGAGGCTTCCCTACTCTTACGCCATCCTACTTGCGCATGTCCTACGTATGCCGAAATAATGGCCATGGTACAGTTTCGCGCACTTTGATTTTGGACCCGATACAATACTGTACTAATAAATACATAATATAATATAAAAAATCTATACTTTACNAAACCGTTTTCTTTTAATAAAAAATGAGAATCAACTATTTTTGCCAAATATGTTAGTACTTTCATTTTATTAAGTACTCAAATCAGATATTATTGCCAAATTGTACATTGGGTCATCCCTCGCGTTGTTTACATCTTCTCAAGAGTTAGATGGGGTGATGTGGTCCAGAGGGAAAAGGAAGGCGCCTTCATTCGGTCTCCCTGACCCGTGTGTCATCCTCGGCACACTTTGTCTCCACCTCTCATGTCCACCTGAAACAACTTTATAAAATTCGCTGGCATTAGCATTGACGTGGGATCCTCGGAACCTGTAACGGTCGTGTCCACAACCCGGCACATGTCCACTTAGCGATGGGGTGATCAGGCCCATCACCGAACACGGTTCGCGTTGCCGGCATTATCAGGGCGGCGCCTGGGATTAGGTTGAGAAAGGTAATGCATTGGTCCAGTCAGCTGATGGTTTAGATCGTGAGAATGTCCGCAATTTCAGCCGCCCTCTCGTCTTGCACAGCTGGCCCGGACCCCGGTCAACAGCCTTGCTGGACGCCACCTGCGGCACGAGTACCTGACCGGAGGCTCTCTCGGCTAGAAGCGACCCGACTCCTCAGCAGTTTGACGTCGGCGTTGCCAGTGGTCTCTAACCCGTACCTTCTTGCCATCGGACTACGCTTGAGTCCCACCGACCCGTGGCTTTCCGTGGCTTCGGTCTTCGCCGCGAGGCCCCTTAACCCTTGGCCCACGCCACAAGGACCAAGCTAGAGCGCCTTGTAGACTCGACCAAACTGTTCTCACATGCACCGGTCTCCGCCACAGGCCTCTTACCACCCGATCCGCGCCACCGACACCGAGCTAGAGCACCTCGTGACTTGACCAACAACGGTTTTCTCAAGGCACCGGCCTACGCCATGGGTCCCGTACCACCCGGTCTGCGCCATCAGACCCGAGCTAGAGCCCCCCTGACTCGGCCAACGATGACTCCACCCCGTGACGTCGCTTGTCTCATCCTTGCCGCCTCGACCCTCCAGCAGCGCCGCATGCGGCCATCTGGTAGTCCAACTACCAATGATCCTTCGGAATTTCACTCCAGCGCGCTCATCGGTCTCCTACGGCCCAATGTGGTCGAACCTTGGCTTCGCCTCGGTCGACCTCGATTCCAACCCCGATCGTGTTTTCCTTCCTCAATCTATACAGGAGAAAAATTAGGCTCGGGTGACAAGAATCTTACCTTGCTCTACTCAAGAGCGTCGAATGCAATCCATCGACGTAAACTGTTGACTGCAACGACACTCTTCTGTCCCTTGACTTTTCGGAGTTACCGCGGGTCCTCGACTTCGTACCGGTCGTTGGGAAGTACAGCCGTGACTTTAAATGGCCCTTTAGCCTTAGCTATCAACTTTCGACTCTGTCGCGTCGCCGCAGGATTGGCAGCCACCATTACATCGTCTCCTACGTCGTAGCGCGGCGCCTTGTATCTCTTGGCGTCGGACTGCGCCTTCAGCAGAAACTGCTCGGCATCCGTGGCTCGTTTAACTTCCTTGCGAAGCTCTCGGAGGTCCACCTGGTCCAGGGATACCTGAATTTCGGCGATCAGCGCCGAATACGCAGCACTACAAGGCTTGAACCCGTAAAGTAACTGTACCGAACTCTTTTGAGTCGTACAATTAATAGCATTATTAATCACACTGTGGACCTGCTTGACATACTGGTCCCATTTGTCCTCAGGCGACCCTGCACTAGTAGCGGCGAGCGAATTGAAAAAAGTCCGATTTACTCGTTCACATTGTCCATTTGCCTTGGGTGTAGCCACGGCATTTAGGATAGGTTTTACCCCGAGCTTTCGCACGAATGCTGCGATACGATGGGACGTGAAAGCAGTTCCTCGATTACTTATGCTTCGGGATGAAACTTCAAAGATGGCGAACAGTTGATCAAGTGCTTTGATCACCCATTTTGTTTTCGTATCTCGGCCAGGCTCGAGAACGAAAAATTTCGTAAAACTGTCTACAATTACTAAAATTTGCGTATTCTTCCGTTTACTCCGAACAAATGGCCCCACATGGTCTCAATGCAGGATATGAAACGGGACGGCGACCTTCTCAATGGGGTGCAAGAGCCCCGGCTTTTTGTCCCGAGGTTGACTTATAGTACAAACAATTCAGGCAAGCTCGAACATACTTGAACACAAACCGACGCATTCCGGAGAACCAGTCATTTTCCCTTACCTTTTCCAAAATCTTTTCAAGTGCGAAGTGACCCTGATCGTCGCGACACATCTTAAAAAAACGTGGCATCCGTGGAACCACCCACTTGTTTTCTGATTCGCTTTTTCGAAAAACTACTCCGCCCTTAAGGTCATAATTTTCAAAGTATTGCTTCGTATCGGGTTGTACTCCTCCGGCTTCCAAGATTCGTCGTATCACCATGATACGCGGATCTTGTTCCTGCACAGTCCTTATCCATTCTCCCTCGTTAATATCGATAAGTAAGCAATCTACGGGATTTCGGCTAAGGTAGTCCACGTGAGTCGATTGCGCGCCTGGGCGGTACACCACGTCAAAGTCGTAATCCTGCATGTACACCCATCATCGCACTACTCTAGAATGAATGTCTTTCTTTTCGGCAGTCGCTCTTACCGCACTGCAATCGGTAACGACTGTGAATTTAATTCCCAAGAGATAAACTCGAAAGACTTCTAATGCGGTTACTAGTGCAAGCGTTTCTAAATCAAACGACTGATATTTCTGTTCGTTTACAGTCGTTTTTCGACTATAATAAAAGATGAACTGTTTTTCCTTGTCCTTTTTCTGACTTAAGATAGCCCCTAATCCGATCGCGCTCGCGTCCGTGTGAACCCCCGTGTCAAGTGCCGGGTCGTAAATAGCTAAGACCGGCCTGTCATAGAGTGTTTGTTTGATTTCATCAACCGGTGTAATGTTATAATATGTTATTAATTATTAATATCCAATAATGAATGATAATAATTATGAAAGTTTAATAAAAAATGGTAAAATGATTAAGATAGCATTTTTATTTTATTCGCGTAATCTACAGAACATACATGAATGGAACAAATATGTAGATGATAATATTCTTCATTCTATGTACACTTTTCATACAATGACAAATGATTTAGTCAACATGTAAAACAATATAATGAGTTTGATAATAGGACGTTGTGTCGTTGGTCGTTTTAAGAAATGCCTTGTCGCTTTATAAAATTGCTGGCTGAACTGTAAAACAAAGCAAAGAATTGAATGAATATCTGACTATTTGATCACGTTTAATAAAACGAGTAGACGTTTTACAAAAAGCCAGATTTTACAGTTTGGCCACGACATACATAATTAGATATACTTCTAATTCTGGAGCTATACACAATTATATCTTGTCATACATGAATCCATAAATAAGTAGGTATTGCATTGCCTGAGTTGATATAGTATTATATCCGATTATATCTATATTGAAGTATTATATCTGATTATATATTGTTCCTTGATAGCTATTCAAAAATATATCAGGTCACGTAGGCATCCATGTATAATGACATATGATACTACATTTGATCATACATAAACAGTATACGTTTCGTACATGATCAGACATCATTCTATCTTGATCATATGCAGTTTTAAATAACCATATACAAAAGAGTACATGACTGTATAGATTTACATATGGTTATATGTAATTTTTTTACTCGGGTACTTCTTTCCATAAGTCCCGGGTTTGATTCCCGACAACTCTGATAAACTTTCCAGGGTCTCAAACAGAGCTTATCTACAAATCCTTACTAACGATCCCTTGGACAAACTCAGAACAAAGCGTGAAATTTGTTAGTTAACTCGGTCCGATGAGAAACCTGATTTTTGTGACAACAGCCCGACAAAAATTAATTACATATATTCATGTGCGATTATATCTAATTCCTCAGATGTGAGCACACGCAAAAAATGTCGCGATCTAATTAGATTTGATCATACATATACAAACATGTATGATGATACGTGATCGTATACAATGAGGTCGCGCCATTTTTCGGACCTAATAACATCTGACGAATCACATATAATGGTTTATGAATATGTATAATTATTTTTTCTCAGGATCGAAATGAAATGTTGCAGAATCAGATGGGAAATTTTGGAAATTACTTGCACGAATGATTGCAAGAGAATGGTGGCTTGTCCCGCGGGTAACACGTGTTTTTGGACTACAAATTTAATTGCAGTTAAACGTCATAGATGACGTCATTGGTCCATTAGAGTATTAAAAATCGTGAATCCACAAGATTTTGGCACTTTTCTTAGATTTTTTTAAAATTATTCTACTAAAATGACACGTGGAATGCTTCATTCCGTATAATTTTCAACGTAGAATATAACACAGTTCAACATAAATATAAATGTCGGTAACGTGACGTGCCATCTTATGTTACCACTTAAATATCCAATACGGCGTTACCACCAAAAAGGGTACAGATGAATTTTATTTTAACGACGTCGATTAAATTTCTAAACGCCTTTCATTTCCCCTTAAATGTTGCTACCTACCTAGTTGTTCTTTGAAATACCGTGTGAAAAAAGTGCAGTGCTTAGACAGTGTTTCTTTCTAAGGTTTCAGTATGGAAATCTGAAACTCCAACATACTTATGAAAGTTGCTAATTAAAATCGGACTCTACGGTCACCGGTTGTAAAGAAGAAGCATGACGGTAAGTGATTCAGTACATATGCAAAATATTCTCTATTTTGAGATTTGCCACTGAGAAAACAAAATTATACCTGAGCTCGAAAATAGCTTTGTTAAAGTAATATCATTTAAAAATAACCAAGTAATTGGTAAAAGTAATCAAGTGACTGCTGCACTGTTGTCAAGTTCAATCGTTTAAAATTAAAATGTTCAAAATAACACATCACTCACACACCGTCGGCATAGTAGAGACCTTGCGGTCCGGCTAGGAACGTCCGAGGGCGTTCATTCCATGGCCTCGAGAGTGGGCCCCTCCGGGTTCGACGCGATCGTGGCCGCCGGCTCCTGAGACTTGTCCTCCGTTTGAGTGCCCCTGTTAGTGCCGGTGGCTTCCTCCCCAGCCTGCGTGGCAGCATCCATTTAGGCGCCGTCGCCTTTACCCGGGTTTGGGTGGCCGCGTCCACGAAGGGGTTCACTGCCCCTAGCCAGGCGTTGAACCGATACACCGGCTGGGTTCTGTTGAGAAGGGGCCAGGCTAACCCGCACCCTTCGCGGCCCTGATGCCCTAAACGGATGACCATTTTCCCCAACGCATTCATTAACCCAGACTGGTACCCTTCCAGCCAGAGCAGGCCTCCCAAGTAGGGCCGGATCAGGTCGATCTGCCCGGACATGGTTCTAAATAGGCGGAGTCTGTCAGGGACCCCCTCTGGTGGATCGACCAACCGATAGGTCAGCAGCGGCGACGGATTCGGAATCGTATCCGTCGACGAAGGGTTTCGTGGAAGGGTTTCCGTGTCGTCTCTCTGTCGAAGCCGGCCGTCCGGTACGTTGCCTCGTCCTCGTTGTCGGACTCGAGGTCGTTGATCTCGAAATCGTCGGGCCATCTGGTGGAATTGGCCGACGAGGAGCGGTCCCCCTCGGGATCAGAGTTCACCTCCTCGTCAACGAGCTCGAAGTCCCCGGGATCGCTGTTGGTTTCTTCGGGTTGTTCGATGGGCTGGGCCGACAAGACGAGTTCGTCCTCCCGTTCTGAATCCAGGCCCTCGTCGGCGGAGACATCCTCCCATCCCTCCAAATCCGCCATCGGGTCTGAGACTGGGATTGCGATGATACGGAAGCGGTTATAATTCTGAAAGAGAAGTGACTGTAACAGGTTCAATGCTGTCCGGTTCGAAACGGAGTGACTGGAGCGAAAAGGGAGATCCTGCGGGAAGGTTTAAGAGTAGAAAGGTTTGAGGTCTTCTATGGCAACCTTCCCTAGGGAGTTCCCCTGAAGATCGCTTATTACATAGACCACTCGTGATAGCGCCTTGCTAATGACGAATGGTCCGTGGAACGGGGTAGCCAGCTTGGCGGAGCGATTTTTCGCGGCTGAAGACAGCACAGTCGGGTTCCTAAGGTTATGGAGCCATCGCAAGCTGCTGTGATCACGGTGAACTCATAGCCCTCTAGGTAATATCGGAATTTACGGATGACCCATATAACCGCAAGACACTCTTGTTCAGTGACCGTGTACTTCCTCTCGACGTCGGTTAAGGCACGACTGGCGTATGCGATTACCCTTTCGTCACCGTCGCGGGCCTGAGTAAGGACGGCTCCAGGGCCCACGCTGCTAACGTCGGTCTGGAGCGTAAACGGGAGGGTGAAGTCAGGACAGACCAAAATTGGTGCTGACGTTAACTGGAGCTTTAATTCGTCTAGAGCGCTTGCTGTTGGTAACTCCATTCCCATTCCCTTTGCTTCCTGGTGAGGTTGATCAGGGGTTCAGCGACGGTAGCGAACTCTGTGATGAATCTCCGATAACACGAGGCCATCCCTAGAAATCGGCGTAGTTGTTTCAAGTTGCGCAGCGTGGGAAAGTCAAAAACGGCGGAGGTCTTCTCTGGATCTATGATGGGCAGTATTAAACGCGAAACGTAGGGTTGGTAAGTGATTATCCCAATAGCGATGGTTATTTTCTAGACACGCCACCAACATGGTCTTCAGGACGCGATACACTCACTCGACGGGGTTCGATTGAGCGTGATACGGAGGGATTCGACAAAACTTGATTCCATACGATTCCGTCAGTTCTTTCAGCGCGAAATTCACAAATTCGGTACCGTTGTCCGTGAGTAGTACCTTAGGTACGCCCCACCCACAAAGGACCAATTCCTCCATTGCTTCTCGCATAAGAGCTCCCGTAGCTCTCCAGAGCGGCTTGCACTCTACCCATTTGGTGAAGACGTCCTGAATAACCAACAGATAGACGTTCTGTTTCTTACTGGGTGGAAATGGACCCATAATATCCGCGGCCACCATATCCCACTGTTGTGCTACCACACGGGAACCGAACAATCCTGCCGAACGCCCTTGTTCCACCTAAATGCTCTGACACATTTGACAACGGCGTACATAAGTCATCACATCGTTAAACATTCCGAACCAAAAGTAGTCGCGGGCTAACCGACGAAAGGTTTTGTCGACGCCTAAATGACCCGCTTGTTGGTCATCATGAGACTCTTGCAATGTTTAGTATCTCAGGTCTTTTGGTAACATCTATTTCTAGCTATCGAAATCGTGAGATATTTCGCCAACTATCGGATCTGCCCTACGATAATACAAACGTTCACCCTCGCAACGCCAGCCAGGAAATCTATCAGGGTCCCTCTGTACCTCTGCCACGCGCTGACAATACCATGGATCCTTGGTGTCTAATTCAGCGGTACACAAGACTGAGACATTATCCTCCTCCGCCTGCGAGAGGGCATCCGGGACGGTATGGGCACTCCCTTTTCGGTAGAGCATTTCATAATCATAACTTTGCAAAGCAAGAGCTCAGTGCGCTAATCGCCCGGTTGGATTTTTCAAGTTATGCAACCAGCGCAGACTACTATAGTCCGTGACCACCCGGAAATGGTAACCCTCTATGTAAGGTCGAAACTTGCCAACTGCGAAGATAACGGCTAAACACTCCAATTCGGTGACGGTATACTTCCGCTCGACGTCGTTAAGCGTCCTACTAGCATAGGCGATGACCCACTCGCGATTGCCCTATTCTTGCGATAGAACCGCGCCTAAACCGAAGGAACTCGCGTCTGTCTACACGATAAAAGGCAACGAAAAGTCGGAACACAGAAGAATGGGAGCGGTAGTTAAACGACGTTGAATCTCTCGGAAAGCGGAATTTTGTTCGTGGTCTCACATCCACACAAAGTTTTTCCTGAGTAGACGGGTTAACGGTTCACTAATTTGGGCGAACTGAGGGATAAACCGTCGATACCAACTTACCATGCCCAAGAAACGGCGAAGTTGTTTTACAGTCCGAGGGGGAGGAAAGTCCAACACGGGAGCAACCATGTCGGGATCGAAGGCCTTCCGCATCTACGAGAAATCCCAGATACTTAACTTGAGAACGCAAAAGTGGCTCTTATCTAGGTTGATAGTAAGCCCAGCTTGTTTAAGTCGATCAAACACTAACCGTAACTAATGGAGGTGTTCATCAAAGGAACGCGCTGCAACAATAATGTCGTCCAAATACGCAAACACGTGGGGTTTCATTTCAGGTCCGATAAGACAGTCAATCAACCGCTGAAAGGTAGCCGGTGCACTCGTCAATCCGAACGGCATTCGGACAAAGTGGTACAGGCCTTTTCCCGGGACGGCAAACGCGGCGATTTCTTTACTAGATTCAGACAGAGAAATTTGGAAGTAAGCTTGACTTAAATCAAGGGTGGTAATATATTTTGCATAATTTATCGAGAATCCCCTGAAATAACGGTAAGGGGTATGCATCCTTCCGTGAAATGTTTTATTTAAACTGGAAGTGAGAATTCTAATCCGAGTAGGGTGGCTGATCAACCTTGATCTGAAGGGCAGTTCGTCTTCGACGAACTGTTCCTTGTAATAGGGGCCGCAGACTAATGATTTCCGCGACCTATGGTTCTTCTCGGAGCTGTGCTCTACGGGGGTTAGTGCGACTTATATTAAATAATCCAATCGCAGCGATTGGCTGGTTTAAGGTTTGTCAGAGGTTATGGTAGTCGGAGTCTGACACAATGCAGAGCCGATGAGAAGTTGGTAGGATTTTTGTGGAAGGATTGGAGCGACAAGGATGTGGGATGGCGGCTTTGACAGGCTCACTGGTTTTAGGTACTGAAAATAAACAAATAAAAAGGCATACGTTCGCTTCGGGATTTTGAGTCCTAGCCCGAGTCGTGAGAGGCAATGCCCTGTCCTCAGAGGATAAGGACGAATCCCAACACAAACGTTTAGTGTTCTTAAGCGTCACGCGATTCGCGATTCGATCCCGATAATAATTCGAGAAGTTAATTTTTTGGCCATGATCAAAATGCATGCGCGCGCGATCCTTGCTAGAATCCACGAGAGACTTCTTGATCCTCGCGGTTCCACTTACAAAATTGAAGAGAACTCTGTTCGTCGCCTCGCACTTGCAGTCCGTGATTCCTTCTCGCGCGACCTCCCTTCTCTCGTTTGGATATCGCTGCGCATGGTTGGGATGCGCCGAAATAGTCGTTGAGGTGCAGTGTCACACGTTGATACTTTGACACGTTATACTGTATATGCATATGGCGAAGGTTTTTTTACACATGATTATAAATTTTTATAAATTCCAAAATAGTTCATGTAGATAATGGTATTGAATGTAGAACATGAGGCTCTAAAGTTATTAAAGTGTAATTATTAGTGTGTAGTAATTTAATAATTGTTCTAACTGTGGGAAATACTTATTTGTCACTAATTTTTTTCAGTATCCGTGTCTTTGGTCAGTAATTATTTATGCAGCATGTGCAACTGGATTGGCGGCGGTGGTGAAAACGTATCTCGTTTTAACGTGTGGTAAAGTTAAGACGGACAAGACGTTGAATGACCACGTCGTGATAATAACTGGTGCAAACAGAGGTGTGTACAATTGTATATCAGTATATTTGGACATAATAGATTCTGATTGATTTCACAATTTTTTAATGTCATAGGGCGGCGTAAATAAATAATTGTATAAATGCATTTTATGTCACACAAGCATAGTTTACACGTCTTCTCGCGATTGTCTTCGGTACCTAAAGTTGACCTTTCTGCAACAGAAGATGTCAATAAATGGGATGGAGTGGGGGCAGTACAGGAAAAAGCCTCAAAACGTCCTAGAACGAAAAAGTGTCCATATCTGTACGCAAAAGGACGCGTAACCCATGCTTTTGTTATATAAAGTATCGTGTGTACCATGGATGCAGAGGTCCTTTACGCCCCGCGTGCCCATTCGCGAGCCTATGACTCGTATCGCAAGGTCATGCTGGGTGTTAAAAAACCCATTTTGCCTCCTTGGTGCACAATGTACTATTGATGTACTTGCACTTATTTTTATGTTGCTGCTAGCGTTCTCAATTTCGATACTCTCCAAAACAGCATCTATCACAAAATCTAAGAGCAGCTTTGCAATAACGTTATAACGGTTGCTTATCAACATAATTTTGCGACACTTAATACGAAGTGAATCATGATTTTTCTCTTTGCGTATTGGCGAAGTAGGGAATGTTTCATATTTGTTATTTTTACCGAGTTTCTTTTAGGTATAGGTAAGGAAACTGCTCTTGATTTCGCTAAGAGGGGCGCGAGAGTGATTCTTGCATGTAGAGACTTATACAGTGCCGAAAACACTAAAGGTAAACATAACAGATTGCCAAATTCCATTCTAGACCGGACAGCGCCGGAGCGTTTAGCGTTAGAAAAACTCGCTCGAACTGGTTCTCGCGGACAGGCTTCCCAAAATCCGAAATATTGACAAGCTCAGCTGATCGCTCGTGAAACGCTCTCCTCGCTCTCTCGCCAGTCACTTTCTCTTTCCTATTTTTGAAATTTAATTAAATTCGGTCTCAGGAGTCGTGAGGCTCGAACCCTCGAAGGATGCAGTTTTTCGGTGCATAGGCACGGTCAAAAGTGCATACCATTGCAATATATATATTTATTCATTACGAACGCACGTGCAGGGAGCGTTACGTAGGGCGTAACACTATACCATACCACCATCCATATTGAAATGTCCGCGTAGGGCTCAGCTGAATGGCCTACATATTTATTCTTTTCTTTAAACCTCGCTGACCTCCGAGATGTGATTTCTCATATCGAGACGTCACAATCTACAACTAAATATTTCTTTGAGTACATACTTCATATTAATAATAAAATTTCTTTTGTACGAATGGGAGTATTTGTACTTGGTTTAAGTGCATTTTAGTTTCCCCGCTGGTAACTGTCTCATTTATATCAAGCATTTATTTTTTTTAATTCAACCAAACTTTTTTCTCAGTACAAGATGAACTCTAGAATGGAAGTTTAACATTGTATTTCAGAAGACATTATAAATCAATCGAAGAATGAAAACATATTGGTTCATCATTTGGACTTATGTTCTTTAACATCGGTACGAAAATTTGCCAGAGAGATTATTTCAACAGAAAACCGTCTAGATGTTCTTGTTAACAACGCTGGAGCACATATAAAAGAGAATTACAAGACCGAAGATGGTCTTCAAATAGGAATGCAGATTAATCATTACGGTCCCTTTTTATTGACTTATCTATTGATAGGTGTGTAATATGAATACAATTTTAACAACACTTTTATACAAAAAATAATTCCTATACGTATGTATGATATTTATTCGAAGTAAATATTTTGCAGATCTGTTGAAGAAGTCGGCGCCCAGTCGCATCGTACACGTATCGTCAATCCTTCACAGATTGGGTAGAGTCGAGTGTGATAACATGAATTGTGAAAAAAGCTTCAACGACTTGAAGGTCTATTTTAATAGTAAATTGTATAATTTAATATGCAGCAATGAAATGGCAAGGCGATTATCTGAAACGAGTAAGAATAATTCATTATTTATTAATAATATTTACTGTAGCAAAAGGTACGAATCACGTTTCGTGTAACTTCGTATTGGAATTTATACATGTGTGATTGTAACAATGTTATGATATTTTTTAGGAGTCACGTCTAACAGTCTTCATCCAGGAGTGGTGAAAACAGATCTTTTTAGAAATATGCCTTTTGCCTGGAAATGTTCTATGAAAGTTCTTGGCCTATTCCTGAAGGTTTGTCATATTATTTTAAGAGGTAGTTTTTCTAGTAAGTCTTGTGATCGCCCAAGATGACACCGAGTGTCACCAACCTATGCTGAAATTAAAAAATTAGAAAATTCGTGCTCACCGCCATCGTTAATTATGCTGAATTGTGACGGCAGAATTCTGCCACATGACAAGAGATAAATTTAACTTCATAATTAAACTAATTTTATTTGTCCATTCTGCAGTATACATATTTCATTAAATATTCCTTTAATAATATATTTTATTACTCAAATTTTCAGACCTCTAAGGAAGGAGCTCAGACGACAATATATTTATCAATAAGTGATGAGGTTGAAGGAGTTTCGGGAAAATATTTTGTTGATTGCAAGGTATCGTATATCATTACGTAATATTAAAAACCATTATTTTGAACGTACATTGTTAATATTATTTATGGAGAAAACAATGTTATCTGCGACATTATTTTCAGGAAGTAACTCCTTCAGTAACAGCGCGAGACGAAAAGATAGCAAGAGAATTGTGGGATAAATGTTGCGATCTAGTTGGCTTGAAAGTTGAGGAGAGAAACATTTGAAGAATAACTTAAGGCCAAGTTATGTGAAATTGGGTATATATATTTTGAAAATTAAATTACAACATATTAAGGTGATATGAAAGAGTCAGCCTCTATATATTTGAGAAGTCAAATCGTTGATGAAAGTATTCTCCGAATTAGATGTACCGATTCGTTTCAAATTGTACAACGGGAATATGGAGGTCCTAAAATAGGTCCTGAAACTCATGAAATTTCATTTTTCAACAATTAATTTATTTATCATGGTCTTGAACCAACATGCTGTAACTCTTGCGCGTTTTCAATGTTTTACGCTTCTTGGAGTCTTAGAATTGAAAATGAAGAGTTTCAGGACCTAGCTCGAACAATTTAGAATACCGTAGAAATGGAATATTACGGAGTCAGTCGGGAAAATATGGAAAATACTTTCACCAACGGTTGTAAGAGAATGCTGGCTTGTCTCATAGTAAACGCGTGTTTTTAGTGCAAACATTTAGTTGTAGCTAAACGTCAGAGTAGGCGACTTTGGTCCTAAACAGTCGTTAGAGTAATGAATTCACGGGATTTCGACAGTTTTACGTGGATCTTTTTATCATTACTTTACAAAATGACATATGGAACGCTTCAGTTCGAATAATTCTCAACGTAGACTGTAAAAGACTTCAACATAAATATAAATGTCGGCAACGTGACTCGCCAGCTTATGTTACCACTTAAGTACTCGGAATGACATTACCGCCAAAAAGGGTATAGATGAATTTTATTTTCTCGACGTCGATTAAATTTCTCAGTGCCTTTTATGTCATCTTAATATTTTTGGAATGCGAAAGAGTTAACCCTGTCGCACCCAGCGCCGGTTATATCCGGCATCTGCTAAACGCATCATTTTTAAAATTTATCATACGTAAATATTAGTAAATTAGATCTAGCAATTTTACGCGAGACACTCTTAATGTGTACAATGTGCACTGATGGCTAGTCCAGGTGCGGGAATATGTTACGACCCATGTAACCCTCCCTAGACGTGCATCTGTGTCCTGCACGTGCATCAGGTAACATATATCGGGTTAAGTCCGGGAGGCCCAGGTTTTTTTCAGAGAAACACCATAAAATCGTAGAAGTTTCGATACTTTTTCTTAGGTTTAGATAACCGAGGACCATCCTGACTTAGCCCCCGCGACCAGGGGGGGAGGACAATAAAATATTACTTTTTATTGTACCAGTAGTTTTAATAATAAAANAAAAAAACACGTGTCTCTTAGATTTTTGTGTTCTTCAACATATATGAAAATCAATAAGATCGGGGGCGGACACTTGGGAATGTTTCCTTGTAAGTTACAAATTTCCCCCTTCAAAATACGGTGAAGCTACACAATGCATCGCACTTGTAATAACTGTAAGCAAATCCAGAAACTTGAAATACGTTAGTTTCACTTTACTATTAATCTCACTCCACGTGTAGAGGCGAACTGAGAAGGATACGAAAAAGTGAAACAGGCCAGTCTCATTCCACTCACAGTTTGTGAGGAATGAGGAACGCCACCCGCTCCCATTCCGTCCCAACTCACTATTACTAGTGTCTGGCGTATCACTTTTCCATTTTATTTAAATCCGTCAGGAAAACTCGCACTGCCGTGGATAAAGTTTCATTGAAAAAATTGAGCAATGATATAATTATTTCACCCGCGTCTTTAAGGCTGATACACACATTCGCATTTTGGACGTACGGCTCCGCTGCGGCGCCGCAATCATCGTCAGAGGTACTATCGATTAGATAGGTTGCCGCACACATGCCGCCGGCGACGTTGCGGCGCCGCACGTCCACGCTGCGGACATTGCATCGCAGATCCCTCCGACGCCGCAGCGGCGTCGTACACATAACTGGTCGCTCAATACATTGTTGTATATTGTCCGATACAGACGGAACAGTTGTTTATCGCAAAGTAAAGACATGGTGGAGTTTTTTGACGACATTTTTGACATAGAACTTTTAATTGGTGAAATAAAAAATTATCCAGAAATTTGGGATGTCACCAAAGAAGAATACCACGATCGCACTAAAAAGAGGAGCGCGTGGTCCAATATTTGTCGGATTTTGTGCGAAGAATTCGACGAAAAGAACGATAGTGAAAAAAACGAAATATGTAAGTACATTATTTAAGTTGTTCTATTATTTATTTTTCACTTATTAAAATTCCTTCAGAGTCTAAATCTATTTGGTCCAAAAAGAGGCACTGCCAATATCAGAAACAATAAAATCGGCTAACTTAGATTTTACCTAATTGTGAGTTGAGTAAACAGGCACTGTTGAGGATTCTAAGATACTCCGTTCTATATCGAATCTTTATACAATTATAATACATCTTCAAATGAACCCATCTATATATTGTAGTGGTTATTCTTATATAATAAGTCGTATCGGTAAAGAGAGAGGTGGAGAGAGATAAATAGATGGAGATGGAGGGAGAAATGGAGAGAGATAGATAAATGAGAGGAGGGGATTTTGACTTAGAATATTCTGGAAGATGTGAGATGAAGAGAGAGGGAACAAGGAGGTTCAACGGTGTTCCATTGGACAGAAGAAAGTCGGCCGCCGTTATTAAAGGCCATTGCCCAAATTTTGAGCAAATCTTTGAAGATCGTGGACGCACGATCTGGCGAGTGGTTTCCACGTTCCTCCTGCAAGGCCTGGGCAAACATTATTAATTGGAGTCAAATTGGGGGACAGTAGATATACTGGGCCGGTTCTGGACAGATTAGTGTGCGTGCAAGCATATACAAACACAAACACGTGAGCAGCACCGGCCTATGCGTGTGAGCCCTCTCCCCTTCCATCTCCCCTTGCCCACAAGTCCCTGGACCCCTTCGTGTGCGTACACATGTACATGGACACACACGCACCCATGCGCACCGCCGGCCTATGAGTGTGAGTCCCCCCTTACCCTCAACCGCCTTGCCTACAAGTCCCCGCCCGCCGGACCCCCCTCCACCCCACCCACCAAAACGTCGACGCAACGTCCCCACCCCCCGCGGATGACACTATTGAGATCGAAATTTGCCATCCGCCATTCAATTCCACGAATTCTGCCATCCGCCACTCGATTCCAAGAATCTCGTCGGCACCTTTACTCCCACTCGCGGCGCAAGGGCGGAAGACGCGACGAAATTCTGAGAATTCCCGTTGATTTTATAAGACAGCCGTTATCTCTCTCGACGCAGGAATTCGTCGGCTCACGTCGGTCATTCGACACCGGAAGATTCGCGGTGTAATTGTGCGAATTTGTCGGCCCTTATCGGTCAAAAAATTCGCGGTACAGATACCCGTCAACAGTCGCAATTCTAAGACTTTTGTCCGTCGATTTTGGAGGACAGCCGTTGTTTTCCTCGACGTTGGAATCCGTAGGCACTTTTCAACCATTCGACACCGGAAGATTCGCAACGTTATTCTGGGAACTCACGGTACAGGCATCGGGTGGTAAGGAGATCAATGTTTTGCGACGCGCGGAGGTTCATGACTATCTAAAAGGAGGATCGGGTGGAATAATTCTCTAACCAGAAATAAAATACAGAAACTTCATATTTTATTCTTTAAACCAATATATATTGGAACTAGTCGAAATTTTTATCCGGCGCCTCTTCCAGAACCTTGATTCGAGGTTGCATTGTCAGAAGAATCTCTATAACCGTTGGCAGGATTCGGTGGATTTCGATTCAACGTTGCATGTGAATTATTGTCGTCGAAATTGATACGTGATACGTCTTTCAGGTAAATCCGAGCGCCGTATCCACTCTTGATACCGATCTCGTCGAAATTGCTCTCTTTTCCTCGTACGTCGTTCTCTTCCGTGCGATTGTCCCATTTTTATTTACGTTTCCGAATGTCACCTCAACGTTTACCGTTTGCATACTAACACAAGGGTGTCGTTGCGCCGTCATTTATTGATAAGCGAATAGTCTGAAAACGCGCAAAGGATGTCATCATTCAAGGGGTAGAGTCTTATCGTTTAATTCCTAGAACTTGAAATTTTTGCAAAGCCTTGGCATGCGATTAAAATGATACTGCAAAGTGTAAGAAATTTATTGAGATTGTGGAGGGGGCGTATCAACTTTTGAAGAAACAAAGTTCGAACGCGAAAATTGAAAAGTAGGTAAAATTTGGTATTCGGAATATTACGCTACTCTGTAAAATTTTGAAAAAAAAAACGTCACGCTAACGATCAGGGAGAAGACAAAGATCTTAACGACCATCGATACACTAAAATCTCTGTATGAAAAGTTTAAACGATATCGAAAGAGAGGCGAAGGAACGGTAAGCGAGAGACGAAGTGATAGAGTACTGGCCAATTTAAAATAAGTAGCACTAACCCCCGTAGAGCCAAGCTCTGGGAAGAATCATAGATTCACGGAGCCAAGTAGTCCGCAACCCGGTCCTAAAACTCAATCAGTAGGAATAGATCTCGTTTAGGCTGATCAGCCACTCCCACAGTAAAGTTAGGATTCTCTGAACAAGGTTCAAAAAGGAACCCCAAATTCATTCCTCTAGTATCAGCTAGCCTTGTGCTCGGAATAGAATTCTGCGCGCGGATCAAGTAAAACGGAAAGCCGACAAACAAAATCTAAATTAATTTCATGTCTCAAGAATCGCGAGGCTCGAACCCTCGTAGGATGTAGCTTTTACGTTGCAGAAGCACGGTCTAAAGCTGCATACCATTAAAATACAGTATGCACACTTCGACAACGAAGAGTAGCACTAAGTTGGCAGGACGATAAAAGAATCGTTGTACCAGATATGACCGATACTTTTCCGTGGGGGTGCGGACAGAATGAAATAAACCAGTAAATGTGTAAAACTGCCTACCCATTATTTTCGTACTTTTTACAAATCCGACTTACAAAACCAACTGTTATGCGAATCGTCAAAACCTAACCATTTCACAAAAAGCCTATTTCCGCGCTTCCTGAGTACCTTCTCTATAAGATAAACGTCGGTACATTTAACGCTGTTAAGTTCTTGTTCATAGAAGCCGCCTTCAATGGGGTGATCTTGATAGCCTTTGAGATTATACGTCACTGGATCGGTATTTTTAACTTGA